GATTGTCTATGCTGATTGCATGAATTTAGAAAGATATGTGATGACCTGAACTAGACCGGCTGGCCGTGGGGAAGGATGTGGGCTATAGCGAGAGATTGCCACTTCTGCTCGCGTTGAAGTGGGGCCATGTGAGTCCGTGGAATAGCGGCAGTCCGGGCGAGTCGGTGAGTTCGGCCAGTTGGGGAGGACGCATTGCTGGCATCGTGTCCAGCCTGTGGGAGTGAAGAGGTGCTGCCGGTTGACTGTGTCTCGGCAGGCCTGGCAACAGGGCAGATGGTGGCGACGACGACGGCGACGGCGACGGTGGCAGATGCGGCATGCGAAAGGGTAGCGAGAGGCTGGACAGCGGTTGCGAGGCGAAGAGAGACGGAAGCAGCGGCGGCGGCGGTGGCGACGACGACGACGACGACGACGACGGCAGATGTACCAAGCCCGGTTGTCCCGGTTGTCCCGATTGTTCTGGTTGTCCCGGCGACAGCGAGCCGAAGAGCGGGGCCGGCAGAGAGGGGGGCGACGCGACAGCCGGTATCGCAGCGCAGCGCAGCATCATCAGGTCGCCGGGGCCGACCGGCAGCGAGCCGCCGGCGGCTTGACGCAAAAGGGCCGTCACCATGCCCAGCATCAGCGGCAGTTGACCCGAGAGACCACGTGTCGCCGTGGCGTCGACGGCCCGTCCGAGCGTGGGCATCATTGAGGCGGTCGGTTCGAGTCCCGCCACATGAAGGCAGCCGGAAAGCGCATCTCTCAACTTGTCCTCGGCCGCCTCGGCGACAGGTTGCGGCAGCAGAGCCTGTCGCTCCGTCAGCGGATGCTGTCGCGCCGGAGCCGGTCGTCCTCGACGCCATCGCCGACGGCCGCCACCCTTTCGCTGCTCCTCTGCCCCGTTTTCCTCCTCCCCCTCCTCCTCCGCCGCCTCCTCCCCCTCCTCCTCCTCCTCCGCCTCCTCCTGCTCATCCTCCTCTTCCTCCTCCCCCTCCTCTTCCTCCTCCACTTCCTCTTCCATCTCCTCTTCTGCCCCCTCCGTTTCCTTCCTCCCCACCCTCGGGAAATGGTCGGTCGGTCGCCTTGACGTTCGAGTCCCAAAGTTGACCGACGAGACGGGCCATCCGCCCGTCTCCAGGGGCGCTTGAAGCCCGGCCGGAGGGAAGCTGAGGCCGGTTGCGAAGCCGAAAGACGCCGGCGACCGGTGCGAATGAGGCTGGAGGCCATGGTAACTGGTGTAGTGGTGCTGCTGTAGACCGGCGAGGAGGCTGACCAAGGCATGATGAGCCGATGGCAACCGCCAGTCAGTGCAATCGGAGCTCGCCGTGTCCGCGACCAACTCGGTCGCCGGGCCGGAGGGAGACGAACCTGCAAACGCCTCCTCTTCATCCACCTCGTCTCCACCGCCCTCCAGGGCACCATGGCAACTGGTATTTTTGGCCAAGATGTAGTCGGAGTGCTGATGTTGCTGCCGCGGTGGATGGTGACTCAATCCGAGTAGGCCTGACGACACGTCTGCGATAGGTCTGCTTACAATTGACGTCGTCAAGGCGGCTTTTGCCATGGCAGCCACCTTTGGCCGTCTTCTTGGCCGGTATTTGTAGTCGGGATAGTTGCGCATGTGGACGGCGCGCAATCGCTTGGCTTCGTCGATGAAGGGTCGTTTCTCCGCTTCACTCAACAGTTTCCAGTCGGCCCCGAGGCGTTTGCTAATCTCCGAGTTGTGCATCTTCGGGTTGGCCTGGGCCATCTGGCGCCGTTGGCCTCGCGACCACACCATGAAGGCGTTCATCGGCCGTTTCACGTGACTTTGAGTTGTGCCGCCGCCGCCGCCGCAGTTGCCACGGCAGCTCTCGACCTCGCCGACCGACGAGGTGCCGTTGCTGGGGGTGGAACTGGTGGAGGTGGAGGTGGAGGTGGAGGTGTTGACGGCGCTGGCGCTGACGATGTCGGTGGAGGTGGTGGGGTTGGCGCTGGGAGCTGCGGACGGCCAAGAGTCGAGCGGCCAGAGGGGAAAATTGCGACAGGAGGGGAGGCCTGTCCAGGAGCGAGCGACCAAATCGTGCATGTGTTGCTCTTCTTCAAGCCGACTGGCCGAAGCATTGTGGAATCGGGGGGGGCTGACGAGGGAGGAAGACGACGCCGAGGGAGTGAAGGCGAGGGAGGAGGAGCAGGAGGAGGAGGAGCAGGAGGAGGAGACTGTGGAGGAGAGGTCGATGGCCTTGGCTTGTTGTGTGTCGGGAGAGAAGGGAGGGTGTGCCGGGTCAAGCCGGTTCGACGGCCCCGGCGTCGAGTCCGGCTCGGGGGGGACTGGGAGACGGGTGGAGGGTTGGATGGGGAACGGCGAGCCGAAAGGCGAGACGGCGAGTCGGCAGCCCTCGTGACCGGTCAGTTCGAGTCCGGGCTCGAGGAGGCGCCACCAGGCCGGTGGGGGGGGGCAAAAGTCATCTTCGCTCGCTGGGTCGGTGCCACGACCGTCGAGCTGGCCGGAGGAGGGAGGCACGTCCGAGGCCGCCTCCTCGCAACAGAGGCTGGTCACGGTTGTGTCGCCAAGGCAACTGCCGCCGGGAGTGCTGCTGCACAGGTCGGACGGCGGCGAGATCAACAGGATCGAGTCCGGCATGCTGTG